AGGTTTAAAAAAGGATTTTTCTATCACTTGGGAACAAGCCAAGGAAATAGTAAGGAAATGTCCTACTTGCTCATTCTATAACCAAACTCCTTTACCACCAGGCAGTAACCCTAAAGGTATAAATAGGAATGAAATATGGCAAATGGATGTGTTTCATTTTGCAGAATTTGGAAAATTAAAATATGTACATCACACTATAGATACATTTTCAGGGTTTCAGTGGGCTACTGCTCTGAGCTCTGAAAAGGCTGATTCTGTTATAATGCACCTTTTAGAGGTAATGGCCATTATGGGCATACCTGCACAAATAAAAACTGATAATGCTCCAGCATATGTCTCCAGCAAATTGAAAGAGTTTTTTGAGTATTACAAGATAAAGCACATAACTGGTATACCACACAATCCTACAGGACAAGCAGTGGTTGAGAGATCCAATCGTACTTTAAAAGAAATGCTCCATAAACAGGCAGGAGGAACCAAAACACCCAAACACAGATTACATAATGCTTTATTAACATTAAACTTTCTTAATGCTGATGAAAAAGGAAAAACAGCTGCAGAAAGACACTGGACAATAGAAAAAACTTCTGAACTAAATCAGCCAGTGTATTTCAAGGATGTACTGACCTCAGAATGGAAAGCAGGATATGTGTTACGTTGGGGTAGGGGTTTTGCATTTGTATCTACAGGAGAAGAAAAACTATGGATACCATCTAAGTTAATCAAGAACCGAGTTGAACAAGAGAAACACCTTAATGAAGAGAAATGACAAGTCATCCAACAAACTAGGTCCTATGAGGTGTGCGGAGGCCTCTCAAAGGTAGGGGAAGTGTTCTGTTCTTGTTTTTACAGGAAAACAGAGAAAACCTATCATCAAACAGCCAAAAGACAATGAACATGTAGGTGTCTACAGAAGAGAAGACAGCTCTTCAGAAACAATCACTTAAGGAAGCAGAATCTGATATATGGTAAAAAAAAAAAAAAAAAATATTTAATTGTAGTAAACTATTTCTATATAGAAATCTATTTCTCTCTACTATCTAGTATTCCTGAAGTCCCAAATTTTGTAAACCAATGCTGGCTTTGGAGTTGGATTTGGCTTTCCTTCTCTAAATTCAAGCATGTTGTTAAGATTAAATTCATGGTTTCTGCCTTAAATCAAGAAGCCAATTGGTGTAAGGCAGAAGAAAACAAAATCTGGGGACTCATATCTTATGCAATTTTCTCTCTGAAATCCTAATTTTCTCACATACTTTTAATGCTTATTGTTGTCTTTCCCTAATGCATACCTTAAAACTTGAAAATTTTACTTTAATATTGATGTGTAACTTTTTCACAAGGAATAATAATGATTCCTAACAGCAGTCTTTGAACTTTCCGGAAAGAAGATGGGGCCCCACATCATCATTTCCACTTGACTCAACCTGATGCATCGGAACTACAAACATCACCCTAAAACCGGTTTGAGACTGTTTTGCTCCAGACAACTCATGACTAGCTAGCTGTAATGGTGCACCTTTTTATTACACCCTGGCCAGTTTCAAATAGAACTACAGTCAAGAATTTTCTGCCACACAGTGACTAACTACATATGTCACAGCCAGTTCTGTTGAGAAATTTGGTTGCTAAAAATTTTATTCCTACAGGATCCATTGGAGCAATCATCATCCCATTTCAGCAGGAAGTAATCTTAATATGACTACGCCCCCTTTCCCTACCCTTGGAATTTTGGGATAATAGTCATCGTCTTTGGGTTGGTTTTAGTTATTTGGGATTGGGTGATGCTTACACTCGGGTTTATCTTTTAGACAGGAATAGGGAATGGTGGGTAAAGGTATGGTTTAGATGGGATATAAGTAGATTAGCCTATTTCCTTGAGAATTTGAGTATGAATGAGATAGTATTTTACAGCTTACATTGTTATGTATTCCTATGTGGTAAGCTATGTAAAATTAAGTTTATATTTTGTTATATTGTGTTAAATATTTCCACTTACAATGTTTTATGCACATTATTTTTTACCATATTCTATGTATGTATACTTTTCCTGTATTCAAGACATTTTGTATATTGATACAATTTGGGATATTTATCTTGCTGCCCTTTATAGTTCTACCTCTTGTCTTGACACTTATACTCTACCTCTATTTTAGGGATTTACATGTAGGTATATGTAAATAGTTATATTGTTTAAGTATTTGTTCCTGCTTTACTCAGGAAAGTTTTAATCAGTCTTTTTAGCTAAGTTCCCGAGTATTACAGATTATCTTCACTCACATTTCCTGTACCTATGAGATTAGTCAGATATAGATGCTTAATCTTCAATCACTTCATAGACATGCAGAACATGGCATTTAAATGTTTTAATATTAGTACTCCTTTGACATGAGACACTGTTGCTCCTGACAGCACCGTGCACTTTCCCGAAAATATGTTGGACACTGTTGTTGCTCCTGCTGGAGTTCAATCTCGCCTCAGCTAATGGCCTGTTGGGCATAGAATTGCCCCCACCTTGACCACTGATTTGGACATGCAGTCCTATATGCTTGCAGGAGACAAATATAGAAAACTGCTTGACCTTGCCAAGTCAGGGTAAGACAGCCATTCTATTTCCCTGCTGTTGTTGTGGTCTGTCAAGTTCTCTTGGCCTTAGCCAAATCTGGGTGTACCAACGTCGCTGTGAGACCTAGGGTGACTGTTCAGGTGGCTTACTGTTTCTGTCCTTGATGCACCTTTTGGAAGTTGTCCATCTGCATTTCCTGTCTACTCTAGTATTGTTAATTTCCTTCTCAGGTCTTGATGAGGTTGAAGATTAAACTATCACAACTATTATTCTCTCTTCCTAGTTAGATATATTAGGTACTAGACTTATGTTTTCCAGCTTAGGACAACTCTATTGTAAACTCCATTATGCCCTCACCCTAGGACTAGATATGTAGGTCATTTTGTTCTCGATTTTCCTTTTCTTAGAGCACACTTGTTATTCACTGTTTTGTATATAGTTTTGTATTAAGCCTAAATCTTTTCTTTAGACTAAAAGGGGAATTGTAGTGAGGTAGTCCTTCTGTAGCACTGACCACGCCCATTGGGGGGGTGGAGCGATGGGCGGAGGTGACCTGAGGAAGGAGGTCGGAGGGGGCCAGGAAGGCGCTCTCTTTCTGGCGTGACTCGGACAGGAGAGGATCGGGTTGAATTTCCTGGTGTTCATCTGTCTAGGTTGTAAGTTATTTCTCCCTGATTAAACATCTATTCGGCCTATTTGTTTATCCTGATCCTTATTTACCGCAATAACCACCACCACCATCATCACCACCATCATCACCACCATCATTACCATCATCACCACCACCATCCTCATCATCACCACCATCACCATCATCATCATCACCATCATCACTACCATCCATTACCACATCATCAGCATCACAGTTCCTGGGCAAGTTCCACTTGAAACTTGTTGCCCAGCTCATTTAAAAGTAAATTTCCTTTTGCTCTTAGAACTATCTTGATTTGGAGTAGATTTGGTAATCTACTCACTGTCACACCTGTCACCCCCATTAGCAAAAAGGCAATGCAGACACAGACAGCAGCAGAGGACAGACTCAGGGCAAGCAGATTCACTCAGTCTATTTAACACTGCACCATGCTGTCGGTCACACAGGTTTCTGCAAGGGGACTGCTTACAAAGCCAGCACAACAGGGTAAGGACCACACAGGTGATGCTCCTGCCTGCCAGAACTGAGGGCTCAGACAGCCATGAACCGAGTCTGGGATAAGAAGGGTATCTGTGTGAGACTCTGGCTGTCTGCTCTTTATTATGGGGTGACTTCCCCACTGCACCTAAACCAGCTGTGGGATGAAAGAAAATTCCAACCTAAGGCAAAGAACAAACGGTATCAAAACTCCAAACTGAATGCACAGAAAACTCACTAGAGATCAACGTGCCCGAGTACACAGACACAGTTGGGAAGCTCTACGGTCACTCTGTTTCAGTAACACATGGAGACGGCAGCGCACAGTGGCGGACGGAGCAATGGGCCCTGACTCCCTTCTTCCTTGCTGCCTCCATCCTACACAGGGACAGGGGGCTGCATGGAGGAGCTGGGCCGTCTGTAAGCCTGCCTTCTCAGGCTCTCTGCCCATCATCTTGGCCGAGCATCAGTGCTGAGAAAGAGGCACCGAAAGAAACATCCCGTCTATGGAAATGGCGGTCCAAAATGCTGGTGCGTATGAACTGTTTCTACGATGGAAATACGAGGCTGGAGAGGTGGCTCAGTAGTTAGCGCAGTTACTGCTCTTGCAGAGGACCTGGGTTAGGTCTCTAGCACCCATGGCTTACAAACATCCTTAACCACAGTTCCAGGGAATCTGATGTCCTTTTCTGGCCTGGTATACACCAGGCACCAGGTATACACATGGTACACATACATACAGGCAAAACAGTCACACATATAAATGAACTAAACCTAGCAAGAAAGTTTTAGACAATGAACCCTCTAAGGATGACAGGCGTGAGGGTAGAATGAGGGCTATGAGGGCCTGCTCCAAGACTCTCCACACGTCAAAGGCAGTAGACACTATCACATGTTTAATGAATGTGTGATAGCCATGCAGAGGAGACATGGAATGGCTGTCCACTAATCTCATCCTTACACCTCAAGAAATGTTTTACTTATTCTGTGCATGTGTGCATGGGTGCAGACACACCAAGGCACACAAATGGAGGTCAGAGGACAACTTGCAGGACCATAGTCTCTTTCCGGGGTGCGTCCCGGAAATCCACTCTGTCTATCGGGCTTGGTGGCGAGTGCGCTCCCTTGCTGAGGCACCTTAGCTGCCCTTCATTTCAGATCTTTCTCCACTGAGACAGAGTTACAAATATGTGAGGTAGACATAAAATCCCCTATAATGGAAACAAAGGCTTCTCCATTAAAAACACATTGGTATTGAAATTATAGAAACTGTCCCCATCATGCCAAGCAAGCCAGTCGGTCACTTACTCTTGGTACTCTGCTGAAAATGTCACACTGCCCACTGAGTAGTTCTGGCTGCTCCACTTTAGGGTAAAATTGTCATCTATAATGTAGACATCCACATCCTCAGGAGGCTCCAGATCATCTCCATCTATAAAGCCAACAGGCAACAAAGGGCTTATTTATATGTTGTAAAAAATTATAAATTGTTATTGTTTACGTCAATAGCAAGACTGAATTTTTTTTTTGTTTTGTTTTTTGCTATGATGCCAAAGGACCACAGTGACAACCGATATGGCACAATAACCCTAAGGATACAACAGTGGTACACATACCTTGGAGGTGACCAACAGCTTCCAGTTGATCTTAATATCTGCTTAACAAGACAGAAACCATCCCTGGGACTGGAAACCTTGCCAACTGCCAAGGCTAGTGAAGTCATGCCTACAAACATCACCTTACCAAAACCAGCATAATCCTTAACCATATCCTAAATGTTTGTCCTCACACTCACAGGCTAAGTGTCGTTCTCACTGACCATCGGGGAAACTTCTCTTTGCAACAGTTGGAGACCATAACAGAAAAACACAACTGATAAAACAAAAAGTCATGGAGTCCAGTACCAACGGATACATCTACAACTCCTGAACCCAAGGCTCGGGGATCACCGTGGAAGAGGGAGCAATAGTAAGCGCCAGAACGACAGGGGGTTTGCTGTGAGATTGTGTGTCCTGGAAATCCATGCAATCTCACCAATATGGCTGCCTAACGTTACCTAAACAAGCACACCACCAGCAGACATGTTAATGTGGAAGGGAAAAGCCCAGGAGGCCTCAGTCTTGAAAAACAAAACAAAGACCTATGGGCAACTAAGGGATGCTGAGAGCAGGAGAGAACCGCCTTCCACAGAAGGGCACGACAATCATCTGATATTGATTATCTAATAGCAAATGGCCAACGTGAGAACATACACACAAGTAACATTATACACATTGAGAAGGTTGTTAATTATATGTTTAGGAACACACGTGAACACAGACATACACACTTAAAGAGAATGAGACCATGAAGTTGATAGACAGACAGACAGACACACACACACACAGATACAGACACACACACACACACACACACACACACACACACACACGCGCGCGCGCGCGCGCGCGCGCTGGGAGTGGAGTCAGGTCCTTTGCAAGTGCACTTAAGCACTCAGTCACTAAGTTGCCTCTCCAGTCCCAGGACAGAATTTATTCACGCACATCCAAGTATTAGCAGTCTCTGAAATGTGGGAGCTGTAGCCCAAGGCCCCCCAGGGGATGCCTCAAACTGCAGTTAGAACCCAGCTCTATCCAGACATGACAGTTTAATAAAATAGACATAATACGATAATAGAGATAAATATGATGTACAGTAATTACAGTGGGGTTGGGGACCCGGGTCATTATTAGGTAAGTAAGAGGTTCCTTGGACAGGGTCTCTGTACTACTTCCATGGTTATTTGTACATTCTGGGCAAAGGGAAGATCCCCACCCTAGGAAGGAAGGAGAGATTTCATATACAATTTAAATGTGAGGTGTACGGACCTTTATAACTGTTGTATAGAACCTTCATTAATATATAATGCCTTGTCTCTTATAGCCTTAACTGTGTGAATTAGAAAACTTCCAAAGAAACTATCTGACAATAGACCACTCTAAGAAGGACAAGATTTAGACAGCATCTTCCTCCAAAAGGAGTTAATTAGCATAGAGCCATCTATCTGTCGCCTCAGGCACTGCACGGCTGGGATGTCACTCCTGACTTAACACGTAGGGCAAGTTCATAGAGGAGTAGACCACTGATGTAGACAGTCTTCTAAGAACGAAGTATGGTATCATTTCCTTCTGGTGGCTCGGGCCCTTCCTTTAACTTGTCCATGTAACACCCTGGCCCTTGTGCCCTCATAGTTACTAAATGATCTAGAACTTGTTTGCTCTGTGGGTACAGGGGAAAAAAAAATTCATGTAACCTGGGTTTTGGTCCCTCATATTTGTTTCAGAAGAAAGTATTTTATTTCCCTTCAAAGCAGAGTCACTCTCTTTTGGGTAGATGACTTAAAATTCTTCTGTCTGAAGTTGATACAGCCACCCTGCTCATCAAGTCTTCCCTTGAAGAAGCACGCCTTTGGTACACTCCAGAGTGCCAAAACAGTTTCAACAGTAGTGCAAGTACTGTCTAGGTGAGGACGCCGACCACTGACGCATGCTGCCTGCTCCAGTCATAGTTCTAGAACCCTTAAAAAGACATGCTTTTCAAATTTTTTTTTTAATGTTGAAAGTTTTGTTTGTGTGGGTATAAGCAGATGAGAGCAGGTGCTGTTAGGATTTCCTGGAGGTGGTGATGACAGTGACCCAGCTCCAGTCCTGATGTGCTGTTTCTTTTAGTGTTTGCTTTCCGCATGCGTGTGTTTCCTATGTGCATGCATATGAGTACTGAATCCCCTGGGGCCCAGGTTAGGGAAAGGTCCTGCTACCCCAGCACTCCTGCCCACAGAGCCATCTCTCCAGCTCCTAGGCTGTAATTTTTAAAATGTATTTGTTCATATCTGGCTCCACTGTTATTTCTTGCTTTGAAAACAGGACATCAGGTCTACCCAGAACTGGAGTTACATTTGTATGACACCACATGGGTGCTGGGACTTGAACCCACATCCTCTGAAAGAAAAGCCATCTTTCCTCTCTAGACTCTGTAATATTCTAATTAAAATGACTGTGAGACAGAGAAGAAGTGGAGATCTGATCAGGTACAGCCAGGGATGCTTTCAGGGGTGTAACCCTTCTAACGAAGCAGCTCCTGATGGTATAAGCATTTCGGTGCTTTGGTGACCAGAAACTCAGAAGTGAACGGAGATTTGGAAATGAGAGTTAACTGGATTTTGTTTTCATAGATTTTGCAGTACTTTATTCCTCCCTTAGCATGCAATATAACGTCTCTTAATTTGTCTGTGTGTCTATCTGTAGGCACATTCACACTAGATGGAGCATGCAGAAGTCAGAAGACAGCTTGCTGGAGTTGGTTGGTTCTTTACCATGTGGGTTGGGGACTGAACTCAGGTCTTAGGCTAGGGGGCGGGTGTGTTTCCTATTTAGCCATTTTGCTGGTTCAGGATGTAAAATTCATATAGGAGTGTTTATTTATAATTTCAGTTGCTTCCAACTTTTGATGTTCATCTTGACGGCAAGTAGGGTGTAATATTTTTTGAAATCTGATGAGCAACATTACAATCTCAAGTTCAGAGTACCAATTCACTTACTTCCCAACATCATTACCCCTTTAAGGGGAGAAGAGCGTTAACAGAAAGAGAGCTGAGAAGGAGGCCTTTAACATGTAAATGTGTAGTCAGCTATCTTATTTGCAATGTTTTTCTTTAAGGAAACAGCTCTGCTCGGAAGGTAGTGGTGCACTTTTAATCCCAGTACTCCAGAGGTGGAGGCAGGTGGATCTCTGTGAGTGCCAGTGATCCCAGGGCCATAAAATGAGACCCATCTCAAAACAACAAAACAAACAACCCACCTCTGGCTTGGGGTGGTAGCTCATGCCAGTAATCCCAGCACTCAAGCAGCAGAGGCAAGAGGGTCCAAGTTAAAAGCTAGGCAGCTACACAGAGAGATCCTGCCTTTAAAAAAAAAAAAAAAGGTGCAGGGAAATGGCTCAGGTGAAGGCCTTCTGGGGCACAAGCACCAGAATCTGTTAGGGCCCGCAGCTGGGTGTGGCAGCATGTGCCCGTGATTGCCGTTCCCACAGCAGGAGGGTCCTTGGCGCTTGATGAGCAGCCAGTATGTTATCCAGCTCCATGCTCAGTCAGAGACTCTGTCGCAATACGGAGGGCAGTAGCACTGGAGCCAGGTGCCTGACATTCACCTGTGACCTGTCATGTGACGAGCACACAGGCAATGCACAATGAATGCACGTGTGCACGCATCAAAACAATAGCCCAGAGTGGTTAAGCCCAAGGCTCTCAGGATAGACTCTCAAAGTATGGTTTTCGATTCGGTCAGAAACTGGTGCACGGTGTTAGGCAAGCTACTTAAAAACAAACAAACAAACAAACAACTCTCAGTGCCTCAGTTTCCCCATCTGCGGAATGGCCCCGCCGAAAGTTTAGTTTAGTTTAAAACACTTTGTGACAAGCGTTGTGACGAGTCCAACAAATGCTCCTATAAAGTATGCGTTAGTAACTAGTTCAGTTTAAGGTCAACTCTTTTGAGACAGTCTCACTATTGAGCACAGGGGTGGCGCAAACCCCTCAAACCCCTGCCTCAGTCTCTCCAGTGCCAGGATTACAGGGGGTGTCACAACTGTCTAAAATTAACTTCTTAACGAAATCCTCTTCAAAGGTCCATTTCACGAGAAAATAGGGAGGAGTTCCCTTTTATACCGAAGTAAACGCGAGCATGACGCTAAGAACAAAGATTTCAAAACAATTACCTTGGGCTCTATCGGGCCATCTGCACAAATTCCCTGTACTGGGCGCTATCTGCAGGGTGAGACTTGGGGTGTCCCGTACCTCCCGGGTGTACCGGTTTCTAAGAGGGATGGGAACTTAGTAGCAGCCTCACAAACCCCAGAAGTCCTGGCTGGCATGGTGAGCCGTCTTCCTCTGGTGCCTTACACCACTATGAAGGGTGGTTCTTGTCTACCACCCCTGAGTAGCGCCATTCTCCTGATGCACCAAACTGGCCCAGGCTTCCTGGCTTGCTTGTTACTGTTTTGTTAGACTCTACGGCACTCCTCGGTGGGGCCGGGCCGGCGCCTTCCTGCAGCTGTCTGTCACCCGCCCCGAGCGTGACCCGGTCACCCGCGCCCGCCCGCCCGGCTCGCGGCCAGGCCCAGACGCGCAGGCCTCTCCCTCCCCGCCGCCCGGCCCTCGCCCAGGCCCCTCGGCTCACCTGCGGCTGCGAGCAGCACCCGAGGCGCCCCGGCCACCAGCAGCAGGGCCGCCGCGCCCAGGAGCGCGAGCATCGTCTCGGGAGGCCAGGCCGAGGCTCACATCCCGGTCTCCATCAGCCGAGCGAGCGGAGCCCGAGAGCAGCGCCGCCCTCCCCGTGACGCCCCGCCCCTTCCGCGAACGCCCCGCCCCTCCCGCGGACGCCCCGCCCTCCGCCCCGCAGGCCTCCACCAACGCCCCGCCCCTTCCGCGGACGCCCCGCCCTCCGCCCGGCAGGCCTCCACCAACGCCCCGCCCCTCCCGCGGACGCCCCGCCCTCCGCCCCCAGGCCTCCACCAACGCCCCGCCCCTCCCGCGAACGCCCCGCCCTCCGCCCCCAGGCCTCCGCCAACGCCCCGCCCCTCCCGCGGACGCCCCGCCCCTCCATGAGAAAGGGGGTTTGAAAGTACCAAGTTCAACCCCTGCTAACCTCTGCTCTGTGCCCGTCACGCCCTACTCCCACTTCCGTAAAGACAGACTCAAGAGAAACGCGGGGTGCAGCGAGTGCGCCTGCGCAGGTCCTCCCAAGCCCATCCTGAACCCCACCCCTCAGCTTCCTGTTTTTGCCCTGGGGTGGGGCTGGTACGGGGCCGCCAGGCGCTGCCTCAGGGGAGCCTGGTGCACGGGCTGGCACCCTGCTGCGTGCGAGCCCCGGAGGCCCGGGACCCAGGGCTCCGGCTCCACGGCGTTCACTGTGTCATCGGCGCACGCTGGTTATGCTTGATTCCTTGACTGAAATCCCACAGCGACCCATGGGATGGTCTGGTGGTGCAGATTAGTTCTGTCTGTGGGTTTTGAATTACGCAGTATTTGAATCTGGCCTCTAAAAATATATTTTTTTAGGTTGGTTTTATGTGTTTGAGTGCTTTGCCCGCATGTATGTATGTGCACCATACATACGTGCGTGCCTGGTACAATGTGCCAGATACCCTGGCATTGGAGTTATTGATCTTAGGAGCTACCATGTTGGGCCCTGCTCTCTGAATTCCGGTCCTCTGTAACTGCTCTTAACCATGGAGCCATCTCTCTAGCCCCTAAAAGGAGTTTTGTTTATTTATTTTTTTTAAAAAACACGCTTATCCATCAACAATGATACAATATATAATTAATACAGTGGAAAAAAACAATCCCCAAATACCAAAAAAAAATTCTGTGTTTTATATTTCTGACATGCTACTCTTTAAAACAAATAAGTATTTCCATGTAGTCTCAAGGCATTGAAAATAAATTAAACATGTTACAAACTTTACCTCTATAATCCGAATAGCTAGAATTCCTGGGTAAAGAATCAAGTACACCGTATTTAGTAGTATTTAGAACTACATTCTATAAGAAGGTCAATGAAAACAATTTACAATTCGGGTCTCAGGGTAAGATAAATAGTCTCTCATGGAATCACATAGCCAATATCCATCTATGGACTTTCTTTACATTGGAAATGTTTTATACTTTGAGAGTACATTCACGGGACTCACACAAAGTGTATTGTGAACTCCCGAGTAAGCATTTTATGTTGTAAATGATCCATTCTTGCTCTTCTATAACTTATTATACTATACGTTCAAGTACATGTTCAGTTATACACATGTAGCCTTACGCTAGGACCCACATATGAAGAACATTTCCCCCCTCAAGATTGGTGGCCTTGCTTCTAAATCCATTCATGCTGTGGATATTTTAATTGGGCTGCAGATGTGTTGCATTTGTTTATACTGTGGAATGTTACTTTAACTGTGTCAAGGTGTGTTACTTCTGTTTATGCTGCATTTGTGTAATGACATAAGGATGCGTGTTTAACTATGTAAAGACACATTGCGTCTGTTTCACATTGCTGCCTAAGGCACCTGATTGGTCTAATAAAAAGCTGACCCGTCAATAGCTAGGCAGGACTGCCAGGCAGAAAGAATAAATAGACCAAGAGGAAGATGAGAGGAGAGAATGAGGGAGACTTCAAGACTCCTGGGGTCATAAACCAGGCTGCCATCAGCCGCAGAGCCAGCAAGAAAGTAATATATACAGAACGGAAAAAGAGAGAGAGAGAGAGAGAGAGAGAGAGAGAGAGAGAGAGAGAAACTTAAAGAGAAACAAGATTAAAATAAGACCTAAGCTAAGGTTAACATTCATAACTGATATTAAGTCTCTGTGTCATGATTGGGAGCTGGTTGGTGGCCAAAGAGAAAAAGCCTGGTCCACATTACTTTTTCTTTGGAGTTGAATATTTCATTTTTTTTATATGTACTGGATTTTCAGTATCCATTCACTGCTGATGGACAACCAGGTTGGATACACTTCCTTTGAAGTGACAATAAAAGCAAGGGTGCAGACATCTCTGTGACAGGGTGTGGAGTGGATGCAACAGCTGGGTCATATGATAGTTCTATTTTTGAGGAACCACCAAAGTGTTTTCCGCTACGTCTATTAGTTTGCATCCCCACCAGTAGGAAGAGTTCCCTTTTCTCTGCATCCTCTTCAACATTCGTCAGATTTCTTAATGACACCATTCTGACAGGGGTGAGGCTGCATCTCAAAGCAGGTTTTAATGTACATTTTGCTGATGGCTCTGGACACTGAATAATTTAAAAATAGTTGTTGGCCATGCGTTTCAGTTTTTGAAAACCGTATTTGACCCATTACTCCATTTGTTGATTGTTAGTTTTATTTCCTTGGTATTTAACATCTTTGGTTCTTTGTGAAGTTCTAGTATCAGAGCCTTGTCTGAGGTATAACTGGTGAAGATTTCCAGTGGTCTGTGTGCTCGCTCCTCTGATCGCCTCTGTGGACATAGTCTTCAATGTGTACAGTGCCTTCTGTTGACACTTGGGGGAAGTTCCCATTCAGAAACGTCTTGCCTCCCCAGTGTCCTGCACAGCATTCCCTGTTTTCATCTAGATGTTTCAGGGTTATTGTCTGATTTTTTTCCCCAAGACAGGGTTTCTCAGCGTAACAGCCCTGGCTGTCCTGGAATTCACCTTGTAGACTAGGCTGACTCAAACTCACAGGGATCTGCCTGCCTCTGCCTCCAGAGTGCTGGGATTACAGGCGTGCACTAACACTGCCCAGCAATGTTTCAGGGTTTAAAGTAAGGTGTTTGATTCATTTAGAACTGGCTTTTGTATAAAGTGAAAACTAAAACTCTAATTTCATTCTTCTGCCGGCGGGTGTCCAGTTTTGCCAGGACCATTTGTTGAATGTTTTTCTTCCATGCATTTGTTTGCCTCTTTTGTCAAGAGTTGGATGAACACAGCTTGGTCAGTTTATTTCCAGGTCCTCTGATCCGTTCATTTGTCTACCCGTCTGTTTTTATGCCAGCATCTCTATACCTCTAGAGTATAATTTCAAGGTGTGTGTTGTGTTAGGACTGCTTTGACTATTAATGATTGTTTGTGGTTCCACATAAATCCCTGAATTATTTTTATTGTATCTGTGAAATATGACGTTGGAATTTTGATGTATATTGCATTAAATCTATAGATTAATTTTGATAGTACAGCCATTTTTACATATTAATTCTGCTAGTTTGAGAACGTGTCAAGTTTTTCCATTGTTTAATGTTTTCTTTTTCCGTGTCTTAAATTTTGCATTGCAGAGGTGTTTCTTTTTTAGGTGTATTCCTAGGAACTGTTTTGGGTGGAATGGGGAAGGAATTTGAATGGCGTAGGTCTCCTAACTTTTTCCTTAGCGCATATATTGTTGGCATATATGAAGGGCATTATTTTTGTTGTTGTTGTTTGAGGCAGGGTTTCTCTGTGTAAGTCCTGGCTGTCCTGGAACTCGCTTTGTAGACCAGGCTAGGCTGGTCTTGAACTCATGGAGATCCGCCTGCCTCTGCCTCCCAAGTGCTGGGATTAAAGACGTGCACCACCACTGCCCGGCTGCTATCTTCTTAAGTATTCATTGTACCCTGCAACCCTGCTGTGTTTATTAGTTCTAGTTTCCTAGGAGCTTCTGTAGGGTTTTCTAAAGTATAGAATCATGCCATCTGCAAGTAGAGATAGTGTGGTTTCTTGGTATTCTATTTTTACTCCCTGTAGTACCGTCTCTTATTTTCTATAGCTAAGACTTTGAGCAATATATCAAATAAGAGGGAGAGCAAGCACCCTTGCCTCATTCCTGACGTTTGAAGAAATTCTCTCACTTTACCTTCATTTAATATTGGCTATAGGTTGTGTACCCTTTACTATTTTGAGGCATGAACCATATGTTCCTAACAGTTCCAGATTTTTTTTTTTTAATTATGAAGGCGTGTTCAACTTTGCCAAATGCCTTTTTTTTGGCATCAGTTGAGATGGTTATGTGGTTTCTGTCCTCAAGTTTGTTTATATGATGTATTACATTTATTGATTTATGTTTTAGGTCAAGCTTGCCTTTCTGGGATGAAATTCACTTGAATATAATGTTTGTTCTTTTTAAGGTGTTCCTGAATTTGGTTTGCAAGTATTATGCCAAGAAGTTTTTCATTGATGATCATCCATTTTTTTTGTTGTTCTGTAATTTTCTTTTGTTGTATCTTTACCTGTACTTTTGTATCTGTCCTTTTGTAGTTGGACTTTCTTTGGACCACCAGCTCCCAAATAATGACATGGAGACTTCTTATTAAGTATGAAAGCTTGGCCTTAGCTTAGGCTTCTTCCCAATTAGCTCTCAAAATATAAATTAACCCATTATTTTAATCTGTATTCTGCCACATTGCTCATTACCTCTTTCACGACCTGTGCCTCACTTCCTCCATGTGTAGATGATGAATCTCTGCCTTTTTGATTCCTTCCCAGAGTTCCTATCTCTACCTGAAAGTCCAGTGTATTCTCTCCTGCCTAGCTATTAGCTATTCAGCTCTTTATTAACCCACTTGGAAGGTGTCTTGACAGAGACACATCTCAATGTACACAAAGATTATTTTACAACAAGATTTGTTATTAATTAATACTGACTTCCTGGAATGAATTTGAAAGTATTCTCCACTTTGTATTTTGTGGAACAAGCTATGAAGAATTACTGAGATCTTTCTTGGCATTTGATAGAATCCCAGTTTGGAGACAGGGTTTCTGGGTGTAGCCCTGGCTG